CCTTTGTATCCCAGTGTTTTGGCACCAGGGCTTTTTCCATCACTCCCGTTCCCAGATGTGACTCAACCACCTCCCAGATTCACACCCACAAATCTCCCCAGGAGCAGAGGCTCCAAGCCCAACGCGGTGCTGCCTTCCTGGGCACTGCTGCCTCGAGTGTGTGAGGCCTCTGCAGGGCTGTAGGCAGATGGGAACCTGTGAGGCTCGTGGTGTGGTGACACCCCACATCGACATGGGGCATTTGGAGACCTTGGGAAGGTTTGCTTTTTCCAAGGAAGAGCCTGGGAGCTGCGGACACGCTGGCAGGGAGCACAGCAACAGCCCCAAGCCAGCTCCCACTCCCTTGTGGGCTCCTGGGATTGCAGGAAAACTCTTTTGTCGACATTATTAGTCATCAGGTGCCTTAAAATAGAAAGTGTGTGTGATCCAGTCCCAAGGAGCTGTCAGGCCTCAGCAGGCACTGCTTAACATCACCTGCACAGTCTCTACCACCACCCTTGTGCTGTGGGATGGAAAGGATGGATGGGGAAAGTGCCTGTATCCCCTCGCTGGGAACAAACACTGCAGGGAGCAGGACCAGGGGGTGAGCATCAGGGGGAGCTGCCCTGGTTGGGGACTGCAGTGCCCTCCTGGGTCCCGAGGGACCTGTCCTCGTGCTGGGCAATGACTGGTGCTAACAATAGTGCGTCAGGAAACACCAGTTCTGACAGTGCTTCCTCTGCAGCCATGCAGCCCCCTGTGCTCCCGAGCTGGTTTGCTTTGCTCCTAAAGAAAATCCTCCAGGGGACTCTGTGCCGTGTTTCTGAGTGCTCCAGGTCTGCCTTTCAGCTTCTGCAGCAGTCCCAGGTGGATTTTTCCTGCACTAAGAGCAGCAGCTTAGCTGTGCTTGCTGCAATCACTGCCTGTTTTGTTTGGTTTCCGCTGGGACCACGGTGGGGAGTGTGGAGCTGGACATGACCCTTTGCAGCCCGACTGCTCTTTCAGTTTTCCAGCCAGCTGAGATGGGATGTTTGCAGGTTGGATGTTGCAGGGAATGAAAACAGGAAGACAACTCACAGTTCCCCTTGCACCCCTTACCCGAAGCCTGATAACAAGGTCATGGTCAGAGAGGAGGATGTGGGTTGAACTTAAGAGAGAGGCTGGGTACCCCGTGGCTCCCTGCTGCCAGGATTGGGGGCAAAACTCAACATTTGTCCTTCATATCCACAGGCCCAACAGGCCAAATTCCTCAGTGATGTGGAGAATGAGCTGGAGGAGCTGTCAGTCACCATTGCACAGGCCAAGAAGATGGTGGAGCTCATTAAGGTATCTGTGATGGCTCCGCTCCGTTCGCACAGCTCTGCTGGGCTGGGGGAGCAGAGCCAAAGGGGCTGTGAGATTTTGGGGTGTAAACTTGTTGTCCACAGGGGAGTGAGTGCTCTGTAAAACAATGGTGACCCTGACAACGACCCCTGAGAATTCTTGCTCCTCATCTCTGCTAACCCTCCTGGCATCTCTGGTTGCTTTTGTTTGCAACATGAAAGAAGAAAGAGGGCAAGGACCGTGCCAGGTCATCTCCTGGCTCTTGCATGTTCTCTCCCCAGGCTTATGGGGGGGAGGGGGTTTGTCCCCTTTGGCCCTTGTGCAAACATGTCACTTCACCACCTGGGGACACCAGATGTGGTGCAGCAGTAAGTGGTCGTGCCCAGCCAGGTCCCTTGACAGCTGTGCTGTGAAGACTTGCAAGCTGTAAGGTCTTGGATGAAGGGGGTGGCAGGGGGACCCCACAGGGCTAAGAGGTGGGTGCTGGGCAGGGGACAAGGGTGCCCTCCTGCACCCTCACCAGTGACCCTCACCCCCCTCTCCCTGCACGCAGGGTGTTGCCACAAAGGAGAGGGAAAGGGTTGAGAAGCTCTTTGCAGAAGCCACTGAGGTCCTGGCGACCTTCCAGAAGGAGGTGACAAGTTTCATTGAGGACGGGGAGCGCTCCATGCTGGGGGAGGCTGAGGCCGATCTCCGCTGTGCTGGGGGAGGCTGAGGCTGATCTCCGCTGGAAGGAGGAGAGACGAGCCAAGCTGGCCCAGTGCAAGCAAAACCTGGAGAACGTCTCAAGCACTGACACCATCTGCTTCCTCCAGGTGGGACGGGGCAAGAAGGAGCTGGTAAAGTTGTTGTTTGGGGTTTTGTCCCATTTCCCATGAAGCTGTGTGCCAGGAGCCCTGGGATGTGCAGGCTGCAGAGTCTCACTCCTGTCGGCACAGTCCTCTTCCCTCCCCACTCCCAGGGGGAGCAGGCAGCCACAACTTTCTCCTCCATCTCCCCCACCTCCAACCTGGCTGTGACTCAGGAGAAGCTGCTGTGCTGCCCAGGATGGGTACCTGGGTGTGGGGTAGAGAGTGAGAAGTTAGGATGTCCCACTGCCCACTTCCAACATTCCCCTCTCCCTGATAGCCCAGCAGGAGGAAACCTTTTAGGGAGGAGATGCTGCTCCATGTGAGGTGGGAATGGTCTGGGTCCAGGTTTGAAAGAGAGTGAAGAGAAGGTGCCAGGAACACGTGGCCAGGAAAGTGCTCTCCTCCCTTACGCAAGACTGTCCTTGGGCCAAGTCCTGAGAGCTGCCAGTTCCCAAATCCTCTGGGGCTGGGTGGGGTTGTGGAACAAGAGACAACTTTGGCTTGTTTGAAACCTCCTGAAACTCCGTCTCTTTTGGCTCAGGAATTTCAGGCCTTAAAAGTAGCCATGGAAGAAAACCACTCCCCGGCCTTGAGCTTCCAGAACGAGCTGAACTTCACCAAGTGCACTCAAGCCGTGGGCGCCATGAAAGATGTGCTGTCCACTGCCTGCAAAAACCAGCGGAACCACTTGAAGGGGAAAGGAATTGATGGGCTGAATTACCAGGAGATGGAGGAAGGTTTGTGTTCATCCAGAGGTCTCCTGGTCACTCTCCCTCCTCCCTGCGTGGGTGGGAGATGTCTACAGGCTCGATGGCCCCTGCAAGCTCTGGCTCCTCTCCCTCCAGCCCTGGAAGCTGCTCAGCACGGGTTCCCTGCACGTTGCACAATTCCTGTCTCAGCTTATGTCTCATCTTTGAGGTTTGGTGAATTTTTCCACAGAGACCGGAGACTGGAGAGGCAACAAACAGCCTGGGAGTTAGGCAGGGCCCTGCGGGAGGGGGCAAGTGGCCAAAGTGGCCTCCTATGAAGGGAGACTCTTCTTCCCAGGATAGATGATCCTCTTCATGGAGCAGGCTGTGGTCTCCCAAACCTGCCAGGGTTAGAAAGCTGATGTGGCAGCTCTCCCGTGCTTTCTCCTTTAGCCTGAGCTCTCTCCTCTCTCTCATTTTCTCAGATGCCTGTAGGAATTGCAGCCAGTTCCTCCCTCCCCTGCCTGTGTTCCTGGGGTGGCTCCTTTCCCACATTGGAGCAGACAGGGATGTGCAGGGGGAGCAGGGATGCTGGCTGAGGTACCATCAGGGTGCTGGGCAGGGGGTGTTGCTCCAGCAACCCCTTTGTTGGTGGTCTTTGTTCTTTTGCTGATCAAACCCTTCTGTCCCTGTCTCTGCAGCACCAGCCAAGTCCCATTTTCCAGACAAGTCAAACAATCCTGCCTGCCTGGAGAGCCGTGATTATTTCCTGAAATGTAAGTAAGGGATTTTTGCTTTGACAGTTGTTGCTAAGGTCCATCTTCCCTTTCCTCTCTCTTTCCCACATGCCTGGCGGGCGCTGGTCCCGAGCCGATGGCTGGCAGGAGCACTGCTGCCACCAGAGGAAATACTGCTTGCCTATCAAGGAAGCCTCCTTGCTTTCCTGACAACAGTCATAATCTGGTTAGGTGATGGGTTTTTTTCCCTTGTCTGTGGTTCTG